TGTGTGTGTGTGTGTGTGTGTGTGTGTGTGTGTGTGTGTGTGCGCGTCCACGCGCGTGTGTGTGTGTGTGCGTGCACTTGGGTGCCTGCGTGTGTGTGTGTGTGTGTGTGATCGGGTGCTTTGCCGTGACAGTGGGCTGTAATTGCAGTCTGCAGAGTATCATTTTAGGAAGTGATAAACAAAGAGCACGTCACTGGCCATTGAAAAAGCTGGCGGTTTATATTTACCATCATCGCTGGCAGGATGGGGAGGGCAGGATGGGGAGGGCAGGATGCTCAGAGCCAGAGCGCCTCCCGACAGGGTGGGCCAGGACACATTTAGCTAGTGGGAAAAGTACAGCTAGGGCCGCCAACATAGAACACGGCAGTGTCTCTGAAAATATCCAGCATTTCTTGCATTGGCTGGCACAGTTGTACCATTAGTTAAAACGTTTAATCTTTTTCCACCTCACCACAATAACACTACACACTATGTATTAGGAGTTAGGAGGTCATTATGTAATAATAGTGATTTATGTGGAAGTCTGTAATCTGAAAGGCTGTGATGTTTGGGGTTCCCAGCTGACAGCAGGCTTGCTCAGTCATTACTGCTTCATCCACACTTCCTTATTGCATGTACCAGCATGTAGGCAGTGTGCAGTCTGGATTAAATTCTGTAGGACTTTACTCCAGCAATTGTTGTATTTCTCCAAGTTTTGAAGCATGGTTTTCAGTTGCTGTATACAGTATTTTTCTAGCAGTTGGCATGGAGATTGAATTCGTTAGTAGCCTTAGCTTTGCGTCTGCAGATGTGGACGTTTAAATTCGACTCCCGGCCTTTGTGTGCATGCACGTGTGGAGGTTGCACATTCACCCCATGTTTCTGAGGGTTTCCTGTGGGTACTCCAGTTTCATCCCATGGTCCACAAGCATGCAGTCTGGCCAACTGGATATTTTGCACTGCATAAGCAGATAGATGACTGGATGTGATCTGTCATCAGAAGCTGTCGTCATTTTTATCTTTGATTATCCAATACAAAACTACAATCATCTGAATTTCTGCTGGCCTTGTCCTGTGTTTCCTGCCATGTGCAGTATGCAAAATGGATGGATGGATAAATATTCCTCAGCAGTTCAACATGTATCATCTGCACTGTGCTTGGATAGTAGACAATAGAATCAGGCTCACAAGTTAATGTCAGTTGCTCAGTCATACTAGTTAGCTAATACAGTACCAGCCTCCCACACACCACAGTGGGGATTTCAAATGGCACTTTACATGTATCGAACTGCTTTGAATATGCCTATGCTTTGGTGTCTAGTCTTTCAAATGGAAGAACTGATGACCGCTTAGTGATGTCGCTGTTCGAGTCATACTTACGATCCTCTAGGTATAGCAGGGCTCCCAAGTAATGGTGATCTTCCAAAAATTGCTAAATATTGGGAAATGTGGCGACACTTGTTGAGGCTGTACCTTGCTAGCCAAGAGGAAGTGCTGCTGATCGTCCCGAATGCCTTTCCCCTTTCCCAGTACAGACCTTTAGACTTGAACTTGATGTACAAATCTTTTGACGTCAGATGAGACCTTGCGCAACCTGAGGCCTCTCTGTCCCTAGCAAAGTGATGGGTGCCTCACTGGCACTGAGGGAGGCCCAGCTACAGAAAGACACACGGACCGGCTCTCTGGCCCACCTGGGGAATGCGATCTGCTTCGCGTTCCTGAATGTTCTGCCTCGCACTGCTAATAAGGCATCGTGGGGATCGAGCACTGACACCTACTGCAGGATGAACACATGCCATTTAACCAGAATGGTGCTGGGAAAGCCCACTGTACCTGGCTGTATGTAAATACATTTAAGATTCTACAGCTCCCGTGTGCTCTTGCTGGCATGGGAAAGGGTCTCTGACCTGTATTGCACCTATTACAGTTTTGGGCAAAATCCACTGTAAAAAATTTGTGGTTTTCAGCCAAGCAAGTACATCGTTATCCAGTTGGCTGCTCCTTAAATAAAGGATTAAAATTATACGGTATTCTGTTAACAACATAATTTCTAATATACTTATAGGCAGAAAGTAAACCCACGTTATTTTTATTAAGAGTAATGAAGTGAGTCTCCGTTGGGGAGGGACGGCCCTGGGGGTGGGTGACTAATTCGTCTGGCATGCTTGCTGACTGCTGCTCGCTAACGACTGTCCCGCCAGAACTTACTGGAAGTGTCTGCAAGTGTCTGACTTTACAGTCACGCCTATATTTTCTCATGAAATATCAGCAGCCCATTTTCAACGTGGTGTCCTTAAGCAGTAGGATGTGCCAGTGATGCAGATCATGGGTGTGTCTGTGTGTGGGTGTGTGTCTGTCTCTGTCTGTCTCTGTCTGTCTGTGTTTGTGCGTGTGTGTGTGTGTGTGCGTGTGTGTATGTGTGTGTGCGCGTGTGTGCTTGTGCGTGCGTGTGTGCGTGTGTGTGTGCGTGCACACTGTATTCTGTCCCTTCTTTCTGATGGCATCCCCTCCATCTCAAACACAGCTGTGCTTTTGCTTTCGGTGATAAAAACTCTTTGAGATGTGGCTGTACCTGGCTTCCTCTTGTCTGCCTCACCTTCCTGCCTCACCTTCCTGTCTCGCAGCTGATACCAGGCACTTTCCGTGGCTTTGAATTGCTAGTATCAGGGGCGTCACTAAAGATTATGGGCCCCATGAAAGCATATCATATTAGGCCCCCCAGTCCAAACCAATCCAGTTATTTTCCTAATTTTTTAGGGCCCCTGTCACTTTCCTTCCCCTTACGGCGCCCCTGGCTAGTACAGTATATTAATATTATTGGCAGAAATCGGGTTGCTTCTGGAAGAAGGCTGTAGGGTCACTCACACACCTGAAAACGCTGTGGAAGGCTTTGATGGATGATGGAGTGATCTGCGTAGATTAAGGCAGAAGGAAGGAGGTGGGAGGCTTTGGGGGGGTGGGGGGGCGGCAATCATTCTGGCCCATTCTGCATATATGCATGTAGCTAAATATCCTGAGCCGTTCTGTGTTGGTACACTTGTGATTGTGGTGCAGATCTGCGTGTGTATGTGTCTGTGTGACTGTACGTGTGAACGTGAGCGTACACGGAGCTGCTCAGTGACCTTCAGATGCTGGTGGAATGCTGACTCTCTGCTTACTGTCAAATTACTGTTGAAATACCTCCCCCCTCTCTTTTTTGACGTGCTTTATGATGCACGCAGATCTGTATGGTACTTGGCTCCGTGTCCCGATTCCGAGGCTATGGCAGGCAGACCCAGACCCTCCTCTTTCACTCACACTAATGAATTGTGATTTGTTGCACATTAAGGGATGACTTAAAATTGCATTCTAATGGTTGGATAAGAACCTGGATTTCCCTGATGGGGATCCATTTTAATCCAGTTAGACTGAAATGCCTGTAATGAGTGCTAAATCATCCTCTATTCCATCTTGTCCATTTCCAAAGAGTCTCTATGCTGAATTGGTACAGCTGATATTTGATCAGTTGGAATATGGACTCAAAATGGATTCTATGTTGTGGAAGTTATGCCAGACTCAGGAGGGGGCCAAAAAAAGCAGGATGTGTTTTGCCCTGGAGGACAGGCGTAGACTTCAGTGTAATGGCTAGACTAAGCTACTTGATGAATGGGTGTAGTAAAGCTGGCTATAAATAAAGAATGTATAAGATGAGCCGCAGGCTGTGTATTAGCGGTCCTTTTCTGTTGATTGTATAATCTGCAACCTTCCTCCTCCGTGCCATGTGCACTTAAATGGCAGTTTTATGGGTGGACATATTTCATGTATCTTCTGTTGTTCTTCTGATCCTGTTCTTCAGACCCACAGCCACTATACCGGGAGGAGGCCATTGTCATTGCCTTGGCAGCCGTTTCCTTGGTAGCGGTCCTCATTGTTGCCATCATCCTCGGCTTCCGTGTTTTGACCGGTGAGCCTGATGGTTTCCAAAAGGGGTTATTCATGACTCATTCTCTGTCCTAAGCACTTACCCCTGCATCTAAAATGTTGTTACCAGGAAGTCGCAAACAGGGCCTCCACAACCTGGACAAGATGGAGGCAGCCGCCTCTGAGCCTTCACTTGACCTGGACAGCCTGAAGCTTTTGGAGGTGACAGACACATGCGTGTCCACATTCCTTACTGACATACTTACTCATCTCATCCTCAATCTAATCCTGTCCATACCACTCCCTGAGTTTCTGATGAGCCTACATTTTCTGTGTTATAGCTGATTGGCCGTGGACGTTATGGCTCTGTGTACAAGGGGTCCCTGGACGAGCGCCCCGTGGCGGTCAAGGTCTTCAACTACACCAACAGACAGAATTTTGTGAACGAGCGTGCCATCTACAGAGTGCTCAGTCAGGAGCATGACAACATAGCGCGCTTTATCATTGGGGATGAGCGCATGACAGCCGACGGACGCATGGAGTACTTCCTGGTGATGGAGTACTACCCACATGTGAGTCGATGGAGTACTGCTCTCAATTGGATAGTGACCGAATGCTGTCAGTGTGAGTAGTGCTGGAGCACCACGCTTGCGTGGATAGTGACTGAAAGCTATCTCAGTGTGAGTAGTGCTGGAAAACTGCGCAGACTTACATAGTGACTGAATGCTATGTCAGTGTGAGTAGTGCTGGAGTCATTCTAATACTGTCTCTTTCCCCTCCCTTCCTTCCCAGGGGTCCCTGAGCCAGTACCTGAGTCTGCACACTGGGGACTGGGTCAGCTGCTGCCGCCTGGCCCACTCTGTAACCCGAGGGCTGGCCTACCTGCACACAGAGCTCATGCCAGGAGGTGCGGGGGCGTGTGTGTGGCACTGCATCACCCCACTGTGTACACACACACACACACACACACACATAGTTACACCTTGACCTTGCTCGACTCCATCCCAAATGCCACAGGGAAGCATCTTCCCTGATGTTGTCACAACCAAAACATCAACATTTCCTTCCATTTAACTCACCAGTGGACTTGGTCACGTCAGACCTGGGACACAAAAACAGCAGGAAAAGGGCAGCTTAGACCTGAGGAGATGCGGAAGCCCGAATGACACCGATGGTGACACCGGAAAAGTCTCTACACAGCCTCATGTGAAGATGAAATCTAAATATAAGATCCCTGTCAGCGGTAGCTAAAGGTTATCAGGCTCCTGTCATGATATCTGTGTTTCTAAGACAGGAATTTACTCTGGAAATGCATATGAGGCACAGAGCATGAGAAAAGGAATGAAATTAATACTCTGTTGGATATCCCAGCTGCACCATGCTGATAAGTAGCAAATGTCATTGTAAGGTAACTGTCAAAATAAAGGAAATGGCAAAATTAAGTGTCTTAATGGGGGGGGCCCACTGCCTCAGTGGCCTTTGACTCATGCTGGAAGGATGTGACACCATTCTTTCATGAGAAGCGTCATCACTTAGTGTCCGAATACTGTGGGGAGAACACTAAGGGATCCATCGCTGACGTTCTGTGACCTGGATGAAGGATTACTTGAGTGATCATGTTGTTGTTTTCCATTTCTGAGTAGGTCACAGCCTGAGCTCTTTCCATTGATTTAACTCTGAAAGTGCAATAACAGGTTACATATATGTCAATCTCTTAATATTATTATTTATAGCATTTACTTGTCTTATAATTGCTGAGTAACTAGTAATATAGTAATAATAGTAATATAAGTATCATCTGTTGGCAATTAAATGTGATTTTTTTTCTTTCATTTGTAAAGCCAGTATAGGGCCAGTCTGAATGCTTTAACACGTAAATTGGTTATTTCAAGATGATCCTTCATGCTAAAAATCCCAACAGTGGTGAGCGAATTGGATGCATGCAATACCTTTTCAATGTTTCTCTGAAAGCATGACCTCTAGGTCTGACAAGCCACAAATCTGGACTTTTTTCATATATTTAATCTTCTATTTTTCATTCTAAAACCAACACATGAGATGATGATTAGCTGACAGCTGTAACTTGTATTTGTTGTGGTGCCATCTAGTGGATTTTGAGCTACTGTTGCTGCTCTGAAGGAAACATGGCAGTAATTTTTCTCAGTCGGCTTCACTATATCCATTTAAACATTTTCCACCATTTCTACACGACCTAGATGAAAATATGCCTCAAATTAGGCAATCTTTTACTGCTACCAGCATTCAGTGACAGAATGCAGTTTTACTATGGTGGGAGACCATTGGGTTTTCATAATGTAATATCAGAGCTGATTCTTCACTGAGTAGGTGTCTGGTTGTGAAACGGCAGATTCTGTGGGGGTAATGCTGGTCTTTTCTTTCCTGTCCGTTTGTATCAGACACCTACAAGCCGGCAGTGTCCCATCGGGACCTGAATAGCCGCAATGTCCTGGTGAAGAATGATGGCACCTGTGTGATCAGTGACTTTGGCCTGTCCATGAAGCTCACGGGAAACAGGCTGACGCGGCCCGGGGAAGAAGAGAACGCCGCCATCAGTGAGGTGGGTCCAGTCCGCACCTAGCATCCATCCTCTGTGTTCTTGTGCATTTTGCATATTTTGGCTTGTATGTTAATGTCTGGAAGGAGCTTTAAACCATTTTTCAGAAGGCAACATGCTTCTTTTGTGATATCTCGGAGGACTCCGGGTTGAGACTCACTCATTTACTTTGAAACCTCTCTTAACTCCTGTCCCCTAGGTGGGCACGATCCGCTACATGGCCCCCGAGGTGTTAGAAGGTGCAGTGAATCTGCGGGACTGTGAATCTGCCCTCAAACAAGTGGACATGTATGCTCTTGGGCTCATCTACTGGGAGATCTTCATGCGTTGCGTCGACCTCTTTCCAGGTGATCCCCGAGGCCTCTTTTTCTGGCACCTGAGTAGTGTCCCCTTCAGTTACAGTTAACTGGACCACTCCCATTCCAGGAGAAGCTGTGCCAGACTATCAGATGGCCTTCCAGGCAGAGGCAGGGAACCACCCTTCCTTTGAGGACATGCAGGTGCTGGTGTCCAGGGAGAAGCAGAGGCCCAAGTTCCCTGAAGCCTGGAAAGAGAACAGTCTAGTGAGGATTCAAAGATTTTGTACTCCGATCCCAGCCCCCATAATTACTGCGTGCTTTCTTATGGTGGTGCATGTGTGATTCCCCTTTTAGGCCGTGCGCTCCCTAAAGGAGACCGTCGAGGACTGCTGGGACCAGGATGCAGAAGCGAGGCTCACTGCCCAGTGCGCCGAGGAGCGTATGGCGGAGCTTCTCGTTATATGGGACCGTAACAAGTCTGTCAGTCCCACTGTCAACCCCATGAGCACTGCTGTGCAGAACGAGAGGTAGCCCAGACTGAATATGGATATTATTAATGTTCATGGTTAATGCTGCTCAGTGGTATTCCATGTTTCTGACATACCATCTCTTTACAGAAACTTGTCCCACAGTCGCAGGGTTGCAAAGATGGGGCCTTATCCTGACTTCTCAACCTCCTCATACATTGAGGACCATGAAACCATGGTGAAGAACCTACCAAGTGACCTCTCAAATTCAGGCACCTGCTCTGTTAATGGACTGGGCAGCATCAGCAATGGGATGTCTGGTGGAGGAGAGAAGAACCGGAACTCCATCAATTACGAGCGTCAACAAGCCCAGGCCCGGCTGCCGAGCCCAGAGACTGGTGGACCCAGCCTGTCCACCACCTCAACCACCTCCACTACCACCACTACCACTGCTACTACCACTGGTTTGATGTCTGGCACAACCATGGCAACCATTTCTGAGTCAGACTGCCCTGATAATGGACCAGCCAATGGGATGCCTGTTTGTCTGCAGCTGACAGAGGAGGACCTAGAGACAACTAAGCTAGATCCTAAGGAAGTGGACAAGAACCTGAAAGAGAGTTCTGACGAGAACCTGATGGAGCACTCTCAAAAGCAATTCAGTGCTCCAGACCCACTCAGCTCTGGCAGCTCCAATTTGCTGTACCCTCTCATTAAGCTGGCTGCTGAGGTCTCAGGGGCCAATGGGACTGGAGGACTGGTACAGGCTGACCCAGCAGTACCCGCCGGCATAGCCTGTGACCCCCCTGCAGCTGTGTTTCCCTTGCCTAAGCAGCAGAATCTGCCTAAACGACCCAGCAGCCTGCCGCTCAACACCAAAAACCCAGCCAAGGACTCCTCCTTGCGCCTCAGGTTTAGCAAACTCGGCAAGTCCAACCTGAAGCAAGTGGAGACAGGTGTGGCCAAGATAAACACCAGCAGTGGTGCTGAGCCGCACCTGGTCATGGTCACCAACCACGGGCAGGGAAGTCGGGGGACAGGGAATGGATACGCGGGCCTGTCGTCTTCCAGGGGCACTCAGTACGGCAACGTGAACCCAGCTGGTCCCCAGGTGGATGGGACTGCCCCACTGCTGCAGACCCAGCTCAGTGGCGAGGACAACCGCCTCAACATCAACTGCAGCCCTGATGAGCACGAGCCCCTGCTGAGGGGGGAGCAGCCCGCTGCCAGAGAGCGGCAGCACGCCAGTCGCCCCAACACCAACAACAACAACAGCAACGGCAATGGCCAGGACGACGTGGGTAGCGGAAGGTCCTGTCCCACTGAGGAGGCTCCTGCAGCCCCACAAGCTGAAGCCCATGCCTCCGTTCCTCTCCCAGACCCTACTCCAGCACCCACAGAATCCCAAGAAAAGCCTGTACTGCGACCTCCCAAACCCAGGAGACCAGAACGGCCCAACTCCCTGGACCTGTCTGTTACCACCCTGGGATGCTCATCTGCCTTTGGTTTGTGTATTTGCTTTTCCCTCTGTTCATAATGTGTGTCCCGTTCTCTCGTTATCAAGCAGCAACGATGTGCTGTCCTGAGACCAGATGCACTACCTGGCCAAAAGTATATGGACACCCCCTTTAAGTTCAGTTGTTTGAGCCACGACCATTGCTAACAAGTGCATGCAATCACACACACAGCCAGACAATCATTGTTAGGTCTGCCCTGACCGGCTGTTATTTCTGTTATTGAAAAGTGGAATCGACTAGGTACATCCACAGCTCGGCTATGGAGAGGTAGGCTACACGGCTTGGCAGAGAGGGACCACAGAGTGCTGAAGCGTGTGGCACGTAAAAATGGGCCTTTGTGATGAATTGGAATGCAGACTGCACACCATGCCTTCTCGTCTGATATCAGTGCCTGTCCTCACTAATGCTCTTGTGGAAAGCATTGCCAGAAGAGTGACGGCTGTTATAGCAGCAACAGGGGGACCAACTCATAATAATCAATACTTTATTGTCCCCATGGGGAAATTCTTTATTCCTCCCTCAACTTGTGCTTTGTAGAGTAAGTTGTACACAAAGGGCAGCCACCCATAACAGCGCCCAGGGAGCTGAGGGCTAAGGGCCACGCTCAAGGACCCGCAGACGTGCGGAGGCTGGGTTTGAACCAGCAACTTTCTGATTACAGGCACTCAGGCTTAGCCCACTGAGCCTCACGTTGCCCCAACTCCATGTTAGTGCCCAAGGAAGGGGATGTTCAGCTAGCACATATAACTGTGACGGTGAGGTGTGCACATACGTTTGGCCAGATGGCGTATGGTTGCTTATTTCAAGATGAAAACTTGCAGGAAACAGTGTCATTGGTCAGTCCTGCTTCTTAAAGCAATGAGCTTGATAAGCCAAGAAATGGTCTGATTTAGTGACTGCTGTAACACCACAGTGATAATGGCTTAGCTCACTGAGCTCTGTTTGTCCGACTTTGCTGTGGACGAGGAAGGAAATTCCAGAGCTCTGATAAGCATCTGGAGAACGTTCCACAGTGCCTGGTGTCTGCGATACATAGGAAATGACGAGGGTGCCTCTGCTTAGTGGCGGGTGACACTCATGAGAAGGATGTCTTCAGATTTGTTAAAAGCAGGGAGAAACAAGGCGCAGAGAACCTGAAAGAGGCAAGCTGAATGAAGGCAACAAAAAGCCAGAGAGAGAGAGGATGAAACGTGTAAAACAACTCAAATGATTAATCAATCTTCAGGCAGATGCATGTGATTTGAGCTTAATAAAATTAAAGCCCCGGGGGGGTGGGCTGAATGTTTATGTGCGTTTGTGTGTATATTTATGGCTGTGGTTAAGGCTAGGTAAGGGTTGTCATTGTTAAGGTTAGGGTTTTTCCCACAAAGATATGAATAGTAACATGTGCGTGCGTATAAAGTGAAAATTCTTAAATCTGGATCGTCATTTATATTCGTTTTAAATGATTCTTTTAAATACTTATGTCCTAAACTTGTACAGCAGTATGAATACACAAAAAAATCCAATACCAGTCTAAAATCTACAACTCTTATATAGACACCCTATATACAGATTATGTTTTTGTGATTAAAATACATAAAATAATTCACTGCTCAGTCCTGTAAAACCAGAATCATGTTCCCATATATTTGTATATTTCTTTCTGTAGGTGAAGGAACCTTGCAGGATGAAAAGGCAGGATCTGGTGAGAAGATTAAGAGACGAGTGAAGACTCCTTACTCTCTGAAGGGCTGGCGCCCCTCCACCTGGGTCATCTCCACCGGCAGCCTGGATGCCGAGGTCAACAACAACCACAGGAGCATGTCCTTTAGAGAGAGCCAGCCACGGTCAACCGGAGGCCGGCCCAAACTCAGCACCGCTCTTGTGCCACAGGGAGCAGGTACCTCTGCCCCCACCCTGACCTCTGAGCCCCACAACATCACCTACTTGTAAATCATGACCTTCAGCAAAGGACAGATGTAACAGGAGCAGTTTTATTCACACCACGTTTTATTGTCCTACTATTTGAGGAGAATTCCACAAAAGAACCCAGATAAAATGAGGGCTTAGTTTGGGATTTTCACTATTCAACTTTAAAAATGTAAAGAAATTGCTTTAAAAAGTACCCTTCTATGCAGTAGTATTGGATGTGTTATTTTCAGTATATGTATCTGTATTTCTAATTTTTTGCACATTGTAAGAAGCTTAATCACATTTTGTCTTTGCCTTGTAAGCATGCAAAATACTGAAAAATAGTGGTCTTAAAATATAATTTATATATATATATATATATATATATATATATATATATATATATATATACACACACACAATCCATGGACTGCTCATGTACTCATGTAAATTGATGTTTGTCCATTTTTTTTTTTTTTTTTAAAGTGGTCGACAAGGTTGTGCCCATAAATATTTTATGCAATGTACATACATATATTTGTTCCTGCTGTTGTCCTTCATTATGTATCATATGTAATCATGTGCAATGCACTTAAGCTTTAAGGTGCTGGTATTTAACAATGCTCTGTATTTTTCCCTGTATTTTTGTCATTGTGAGTAATGCACTTATGCCCCTTTGCAGCCCTGTATGTTTTCATCCACTCCCCCTCATGGGTAGAACACCTTGTTTGCTCACTAAAAAAGGGTCAAAATCCAAGGGATAAAAAAATCCTGGATAGTAATATGTGTTTGTTCAATTGGATAAATGAAAGCAGTCCTGTCTTTAAAAATGGCTTTAAAGCACTATTGAAACCTAGATGAAGGTTCTGTTACACAATAAGCAGTTTCTTTTGCAATCTGTCTTTACAATCCAATTCAGCCGTTCAATTCAATAGATGATCGGTATGGAAACTTCTCAGCGTCCTTGTTTTCTGTGCTGGAACCTTGGTGCCTTGCGCTGTCAGAGCCTGACATTGTATTTATGCTGTAAGCAAATGTCCATTTGGGTGCATGGAAGCCGCAACCCTTCTGTTACAGACCAATGAACTGCTGGTAGAGGATGGAGCATGTTAACAAAGTCACATGACACGCGGGTGGATGTTAACAAAGTCACATGACACGCGGGTGGATGTTAACAAAGTCACATGACACGCGGGTGGATGTTAACAAAGTCACATGACACGCGGGTGGATACAGGACCGGATTCAGCTACGGTTGCTTTTCTGTAATCCGTCGTTATTTCATTTTACAGTATGTGGATAGCTATGTTGACTTACTTGCCTTTGAATTCCATATGCTCATAGATAACACAGCAAACTCTTCTCACTTTTAATCTCTTCTGCCTGTATAATTCTAAAGCTTCAGTGTTTCTGAAGTTTTTTTTTTCTTTTAAAAGCAATGCATGCTATGGAGTGAGGTTCAAATCTGTTATTAATTTAATTCTTACAACTTCTCCCCCTCATGTGACATTTTGGAAAACCAGCAAGGCAGATGTGATTTGTTGGAATGGTCCCAGTCCAAGATGGTCTCTGTGCTGTTGGTTCACTTCAGTCAATAACAATTCTCAGAGCACCAAAAATGCAGGGATGTTTTGTAATGTTGTTTCCGTAATGTGTACGATTTTTCTTGTGCTGTACAATTATGCCATTTCCCTTTTTACTTTTTCACAAATCTTTTTTTTTTTAACATTTAAGTGGAATGAGCAGTCGCTGCTTATTGTTTTGGTTTCACCTTTGACACTGAAAATATAAAACTGCGTGATGTGTTCATGTCAAGGTTTTATAGAGGCTCTAGTTTCTTTCATAAATATTACCATTTCTGTTTTTAATCTAAATTTTACTACACAAATGATAGATAATGCCCCCTGTTGCATAATCACAGAATTGCAAATGACAACATATTCTGTATGTAACTGGCCTGTAGTTTAAAATCTTAGTTCATCTCCTCCAAGTACAATTAACCATTCTATTAATCATACCAGGTAGATAATTATGACCTGTGTACACTTTGCACAAGAGGAAAGGACTTTACTCAGTTAATGGACCAGGTTATCTGTTGCCCCCAGACATGAAATGTTTAGTTTCTGACCCTTCTTTTTTGCCCATTTATTAGTGCACAAACCTCATGACTGTATTTGTGTAATATAGGTTCATCACTTTATATAAATAGGCTTGTATATAATGCCTAATATGTTCTGTCCTACTCAGACACCCTTTCGGAGACTTTGAAGATTGTTTTGGGACCAGTAAGTACAGCAGCATCATATTGCTTTTATGAAAGTTCTGCCTGAAAATCTTCTGTATGACATTACTTCATGCTTTTTAAGGGAAAAATTCCAGTGACCTTCTATTAGACAAACAACGGTAAGATGGATGGAAAGGAAAATATGCTATTTTAAATAAAGAAGAACTTTATAGAAAGAACTGCTAATACACTAATATAAATTAATATTTTATTTGTATAAAAGTGGCTGTGTGTCAACTGAAGTAAATGTATAATAACAGAAGGTCTTATGTCCTGATTTTTAAATTTCAAAGAAATAAAATGAGCCATCGCTGAAATAACTGTGTTGGTGAAAGAAATGGACCTTAAGAACAGCCAGTTACACGAGAATGTGACAATGGTGCAATGGTCTTTTAAAAAGAGCTTTTATATTATCGTTAAATACCAAATGACACAAATTTGTTAGAGATTAAACTACATAACTACAGTGGGACATCACGAGAACTGCTGGTCGTTTTTATAATTTTGCTTATAAAAATGACTATTTAACGAGAGTCATGTTTATATAGATGGTTTATATGCGTGTTTTTTTTTTACTTAAAATGTAAAATGAGTAAGGCAGGTAGCGATTGAGTAAAGTTTAAAGGTTTATACGTGATATACCTTGCAAAAACCTAAAAAAAACATTTCAGATGTCGTTTTCATTAATGAAGGTAACCGAAGCCAAGCTATGATTCGCTGTTTGATGAAGCTGAAAATTCAAATAAATTGCAGGTGTTGCTGAGAAAGAACTAAGATGTATTAACGATACCTGATTACAGCCATTGCTGATAAACAAGTACTTCGCTGAGTTTTGCAGTTGTGATGGCTTAATAGTTAGGGAAGTGTATTTGTAATATAAAAGATTGCTGCTTTGAATCCCTGACCAGCAAGGTACCACCCGCAAGCACTGCTCTCTCGGTGCTGAATTAGCTGTCCCCCTGTTATGTCACATAGGGGCTAAATACAAAGAACCAATTTCTCGTTGTTGTGTGCTGTGATGTGTCAACAATGAAAACTACTCAATTTCTAATTCACTAAATTGGCGATTAACTATATTCATCGGGCTACGTTGATCAGTGTTTCCCCTATAATGATTCTGGGAATTTTTCGGTATCCAAATAAACCGCGAATATGGTGACCGACACGAAATGATTTTTCTGTTTAGACGTAGGATCCCCGCCACCCTGCATAGGACATAATTCATGGAACATGAATGGATGTATGTTTGGTTGTTTGACCACGAGATGGTGGTGTTACTTACATTAGCGACTTGTTTAGGAAAACAAAGTAGTAGTGAAGACACATGGTCCAAGGCAAACAGTATTCTGTACTATTGTCTATGAAATTCAGTAATCACGTAAGAGCGATATTTTACAAAAAGGATCTCAACGATAAAACTGCTAACGTATTTGAGACAGATTGTGTAACAATGAATTATATAATATTGTATCTGATTTAACGTGTTTTCGATTACCTAGCCATTTGTAGAATTGGAACGTATGTATGTCATAATTAGTGATCAGCAATATTAGTAGTATAGTTCTAAGAACTACTCAGTAAAAACGTGATTTAAACGGATGTACACATTTGTTTCCTGCGCTGAGCTGACTAGCATTACCGTACAGATTAAAACTACTCTGTCGGTAAAACATCGCCGTATACACAAACTTTCCGTATTATTTACACCTCCATCGTTGAAAATGCTTTAGCAACCAAATATAAGGAGGTCCTGCATTCTCCCCTCGTCATCTGCTACGTATGTTGTAAACATAAGACCAAGACTTGCAATCCACTTTAATTCTTTGGCAAGATGCCAATGAAATATAAACTGGAATCAAAGCCATTTTTCATGTCTATTGATGTAGAATTGATTAGTGAATTAAAGTTTTTGACTAATTGCGTTTGGGAATCAATTTCGGGGTATTTCTTGACATTATTTCTTGAAAAGAATTAAGCAGTTTGGTGGGTCCCCGAGGTTTATGCAGAATTATAAATGTAAAAAAAAATATGCAGCTTGGTGTTTGTCTCGCATAAACAAACCCAATAACAAACATAGAAAATATTTCATTGTAGACGCATGAAAAACACCCCAAATTTGGATATATGCGCCTTTAAGAAGCCAGAAAGTGTGAATTGACCAATGAGAAGTTGACATAGGTCTAGGATTAACCAATGAAACGAATGCAGGCTTAGAGTCAACGCTGTGTTGGCATGTTTCATAGCGTACTCCAAGTAATTCAGTACTAGTCTACCAGAGGTATTTGTGTGTGGAGGCTGCTGGTGTGTCATCAAAAAGGGAAACTGGTGGGAGTTGACAAATTAAATATCAGCAAAACAGGATAAACTAATAGCAATCGATACAAAGGATTTGCAAAATGGCTTGGTAAATAAAGACATCTTGTATTTATTTTTAAACGACAATGGCTTTGCTGGAATAAAATTCAGAATAAAATGTTTCAGAGAGTTCGAAGGAAAAGGTCGCCGACCACGAACAACGTTACGTCGTGTAGTGCAACCAGTGGAGCAGGCGCCGGTGGTTTAACTATCGATCCAAGAGTGGGCTCGGTTAGTCGGCTGCTGCCTATGAAAGCTGTCGTTCCGTTTCACCTGAACCCTGAATCACATCCTTCCCTGATAACGAAGTCTCTACGTGGTGCTTCTGGCAGCCCCACTCGCAGCAGCAACATCAATAACAGTGAAGGCGACGCGAAGTGCACGCGCGCGTCCACGTCACGCGCTTGCAGCCCAGCTCGTGCGATCCCCGACGCTCCCATTCATTCTGCGCTCTCCATCTCCACCATCGGCAGCCTTGCTTTCGCCGTTGCCACGCAGACTGTGACATCTTCATCGTCATCTTCGTCACCGTCACCCAGAGGTAGCCCCTTGCTCCGGCTTTCCACGCAAGACACGGTCGCAACACTTAAGGCGCAGTCGTCACTTGCAGCAGCCGCACCGCCGCAGCAATTCGCTGCTCATTCGTCGCAAAACGTCCACACCTACGGCAGCATCAGCACCTCGTCCCCATTTTTCATACCCGGAGGCACCCCTTCTTCTTTCCCCGTCGAGCAGCTGTGCTGTCTGCTCTACATCCCGGTGTCGATAACCTTATTGCAATCAACGCATTCATCATCTTCACCATCCCTGTCCTCCTCATCATCATCCTCAGGTAGCACCCGAGGAAGACTGCAGTACTTGCCAGAACACGACAGGCAATCACCAGGCAGACGAAGCCTCATTTCCCCAATCTGCAAAGGTATGATCTATGAGAAAATCAATCGTAAATAGTATAGTTACAATCATGCAGCAGAAGGGTTTTATATGCGCTCTTTGCATGCCGGCGCCATAATCAATGCACCGATTTAGCCATGGTGAAGCCAGTGGTGCGGATGCATAGCGTGCAAGGAGATAAACAACTCGCACATAGAGCATTTGGGGGAATCGAGCCTAAATTGTGTTATGCTTATGTTGTTTTGATACACCTTTTTGAGCGTTTTCGGATTTTATTTTGCCTTTTGCACGATTGTATTAGGCCAGTCGCAATGTTAGAAGCGCGATCAATCACGCACCGTTTTATTGTGTATCGATTCAGAGCTTTTATTAATTGTAATAACTGAAGATGTCTGCTGCAATGAGCCAGTGTTCGGACCGGTTTCCTTTTTTTGTTTTGTTTTTTTGTTGTTGTTTGTTTTGGTTATTATTATTTTTAACAGTCATTTGCATTTCCAGTAATCGTAATGGTTGAGATTAATGTTGTAATGTCTTAGTCGTCGATGCCATTACAAGATGCGGTTCTCTCACAAAAGCCTTTGCTGGCAGCATGGAGCAGAACAGCTCCCATCTGCTGTGGTACAGTGTGGGGGGAGGGGCAGGGAGTTCACCAGGAGCAGGCAAAAACCATATCAGTATCGCTGCTCGCTTTTATTATGGTCCATATACAAAGAGCCGTTTGTCCGATTACTGACCAGTGGAATGACGGATAAGAAATCTACGATCAAAACGTGACCAGTGATAAAAGCCAAGCAAGGCGATGGAGGTGAAAGATGGAGGAGGAAGTGAATGAATGGTGGATGGGCTAAGTGTTTGTGTAGTCAGAGGACACCTTGCCCAGAATGGCTCCATCTCCGTTGCCCCTCCTTGGCGGAGAGCTGTTACCACCGGGTGTAAAAAAGCACCCCGGTGCTGCCTTCGCAATCTTCGCGTGTAACGTCCATGTTTGCAAACGCATTAACGGAGTATTGGGTATTCCTGGGAGCCGATAAAGCTCTCGTCTGCGCCTGCTGCATATGGTGTAAACAACAGACCCACTCCTGTAATCCTCCTTACTCGGTCCCTTTTCTTCTGTTATCATACGTTCAGGGAGGGTCATGGTGATGTATTCAACCCATTTTCATGATATATTTAAAGTATTTATTATTAAAATATAGGCTAAGTGAGTGTATTTGTGTATGGGGAGGGTGTTATAATGGCAAACATTTGTGGCTACATTTGTGCCCACATAGTGCCCTTCTGCACCCTATATGGAAAGTGATTAAAGTTGAAATTCATTGAATTGCTTCAGTATGATAATGAATAGATGAGTTCATGTGAAAAGTGCTACAATACACAGGTGGACAGCTAGCATTGCAGGTCACCTCAGCAACCTGCTTGACTTGGGCAAGGTTTCGCTCTTACACACTGACATAAGGCTCAGTGGCTTGTACACAGGTTGTAAATTCAGGGTCGAAAAACAAATAGTGCTGATAATACATTCTTTACCTTGATGGATTCAATCTGAGAAGAGAATAATACAAGTTTATGCAATTGGGGCTCTGCTGGGTCAGGTTAACGGTGGTGGAAGAGCAGGCTGGGGCAAAGTGTGAGCCTCACTATTGCAGGAATGACTGTAATAGTCTGTCTGAGGCACGGCTGTAGGTTAACGGTCTAGTAACGAGCTTTCAAAGGCTGGCAGAGTACAAAAGGTCAAATGTTTGCAGTAGAACGGCAGTTTTGCAAAGGCATCTGGCGCAGATCAGTGGTTTACGTGTGAGACTGTGCTGTAAGGGGGATCTTCCCTGGAAGCTGAGTTTGTGACATTCAGGTGGGTTAGTAAACACTCTGGTACCGGCAGACTCCTGATGTAAACAGTTGCTATTTGATTCCATGTCTGACTTGGACTATCGATTCCTCCTACACAAAGTATTTCCATGGGTTTTTATTCTATGAATGCTGTCCACCCTCTATCTGGCATTTATTTAAGAAATAGAAATATTTATAGAAATATTTACATTTATATTGCATTCGTTTGTTTGGCAGGTGCTTTCATTCAAAGCACCGTAGAGTTTCAGAATGCAGATCAGGCGGTCCCAAGAGGGCCTTACTGCAGACCCCATCTATAGTGGCATGCTGGCTTAATAGAATATCTGTGTTTCCCAATCCGGTCCTCAGGGACCCACCGACAGTCTAAGTTTTTGCTCCCTCCCAGTCTGACAGGGAGCTTGGAGGGAGCAAAAACATGGACCGACTTTGGGTCCATGAAGACCGGGTTGGGAAACCCTGTAATATTTTTATCTGATGCAAAATCCTCCCTCCTTCATGATCATATATATTTTACATGTAATAGTGGTATAGAATGTAAATCAAACAGATGTCTGCAATCTGGTGAAAATGGCTGCCTGTTCTGTTATATTACATTTACGGCAACCAGAAACTTTTTATTTTGTGTGATGCTGTTGAGAATTCTCCATATACTTGTCAGTAGTTGGTTGATCAAAGGTAACTTTCTGCCTCTAAATTTCACAGGGGTGATGCATTGCGAAATATTCCCTCTCCAGTCTGCAGAATAGACTCCAGGTCGCTCTTTAGAGTGGCATATTTAGGTGTTAATGCCAGCTGTAGAAAGGACAAACTCCGCTCTCAGGCATTCGCTTGAACGTTACCGAGAATTCATTAGAAGATTTTTTTCCCCCATTGTCTTCAGGATTAGAAAGGATAACACTGGGACACGCTGGTAGCGATGGATGCTAAACTGAACAACAATCCTCCCTTTGGCAAAATGACATGGGGACAAGCCTGCTTCCCTTTTCTTCTGCATTGCATTGTTTCCTGCAGTCCTGCTGTGAAAGCCAGTGCAACAGCGCGCGCGCGCGTGTGTGTGTGTGTGTGTGTGTGTGTGTGTGTGTGTGTGTGTGTGTGTACGAGTACGAGAGCTGTTTAGGGCACGCACAGGAGTCTACATTGAGGATTGTATACATCCAACTGTTAAGTTTGTCATATGAAATCTGAATGAGCAAATAGTCCATAGACATTTGTTACATGCATATAGAAATGTGGATTGATATAAATTGCAAGTGCATGTGTTTTCCTACCAGTCTCTCACTGTACACATGGGAAAGGCATTTCTGCTAAGAGCAGCTACTTCTTAGTGCGGTGTATCATGTGCAGTGATACTGCTGCATATTCACTTTGGGGTGATGTAATTCATGACGCTATTGGGCCCATGTATCTAGATGCGATACGGGATTGGTTGGAGTTTAGTGCCTTGCCTTATTATGGGACCCTCTTATGATTTAAACCAGGAGCTTTGATTTGTGAATTAATGTCCTTAATCACTACTCCACCTGCTGTGCATTCTTTCAGTTGAGCACCCGTCTTAAGGGCTAAGGGCAGAGGGGCAGACTGGGGGCCATTCAAATTGGGCCCCATGTCCGTCTGCTGTCCTTAGTATAAGATGCGGTAATGCATTGAAGCTGGTGTACATGAGCAGAATGCAGGGCACCTTGGAGGCGGAGTGCATGCACAGAGTCACTTGAGGCATAAGATTTCTTAGAAGCAAACAAATACAAACAGTATGACATGAAGAAGAGGTTGCATTAATCCTCTCTGTCTGGGAAACCGTGAAGACTGAACTCAGAAATTTAAGAAGACCTGCCTTAGAAGTTTTATTTCTGCTTTTCATTTTATATTCTCTCTTGTTCATAAAATAAATCAGAAGTTGGATGCAACCGTAAACCACAAAATCACTTTAATGGAAAACAGGGGTTTTGATGGTATTTTGGCAGCTTTGTGTAAAGTCGGTGTTTGGTTTAGCCTCTAGCAGCTGTCTTTAAAAATCTGTTCAGGGACATTTACAAGGGAGCCGTGGTGGTATGTAGATGCGAATGGGGTCAGACAGGAAAACAGGCAAAGATGGGAGTTTGGGCATTCAGACTCACCAAGAAAGACATGCTTTGGTGTATTTAATTTGCTGACAGCTTTAACTGAGAATTGAGAATCATTTATTTAAAAAAATTACCAGGTGTAAAAGCATTGCACCATGTGCCTTGCATGGAAGGAAAATGAAACAGGGTCTTTTGTCCCCTGGTGACATGGAGAATTTAGGGGAACAGACAGAATGGAGGGTGGAGACAGAGGGAGCCAAAATGGAGGAGGTGGGAGGGTGGTAGGACCTGTGGGTAAACCAGTGCAGGCTGAACAAACACAGGCCTGGCCATGCTGCCGCTGACCATGCATTAATAAGGGTTAGATTCATTTAAAAGGATTGTTTGACTGCCGAACTACAGGCAGAGATTAGGAGGGGGTTTAATCTGGGGCTCCAGTGATTTGTGGAAGAAACGGTTTATTGGACGTCGGGATTGTTGGCATCAACGCTGGATCCAGTGGAAGCCAATGAAATGTCAGCATTTAGGATTTTTTTGTGTGTAGCTAAGTATATGGAAATGAGCGACCTTGGTTTGGCTGCCATGCGTGCTTGTACTTACTCTCTGTTCTGTTATTAATTTCCTTTGCCTTTTTTTTCCACTGTGTAATGCTCTTCCCCATCCCAGTTCCTGCCATTTACCTCCCTCTTTTTCTCAATGGTCTCTTTCTTACCCCCCCACCCCTTGCAGAGAGGGCCAAACAGCCTCCCGCGGCTCCTGCACCGGCCTGCCCCGTGGGCAGTGGGCTCCGCCGCACCTCCTCGCTGGATACACTCACTGGTTCTTACCTGGCGGGGCACTGGCCTCGGGACGACAGCAGCATCCAGTGTGCACCCTGCATGCGGGACAAGGCCACTCAGGTAAATCCTGGCCATGTCCACACAAACCACACCCCCTCACTGCCCATGCCCTTCACTGGCTATGCCCCTCACTGGCTATGCCCACCCACGGCCATGCCTCTCAGGGGGTGCTGTGGCATGCGAGTGACTCCTCGTCATACCGTTAACATACCATCGCCTCTGAACAGGCTTGTTGTTTTCAACTGGTTTGTATTAATTCGACTGAAGCCACCAGAAACTCTTTCCTGCTGAATCTGCCATTTAGAACAATTCAGGACAATATCCCGAGTTAAATTACGGCTGTTTCCGGTAATCTGTGTAAGAGTTGTTTGCAAAAGTGTGTGTTTTTTTTTATTATTTTTATTTTTGATATCACCCCACAAGTAGTATTTCTGTTCATTCTCTGCATTAAATTAAAGATGTTTGTGACACAGCAACAATATGAGTACATTTCTGATGAATCACCTTTTTTACTTCTACCCTAAAGTAGTAGCTTATAACTTTAAAGCTGCTTTGTTTTTTGTGTTTGTCCCCATTTTTTAGAACTGCTCCTATCACTCCTTTGGTTTTACAGTCTTGTGCCTTAATAGTGTGTGTTTGTGTAACGTGTAACACTTAAGGCCAAATGTAGGTTTTCAGATTCAGGGTTTTTTGTTTTTATGATCTTGTGTATTTATTTGCAGTTGTGTATGGGGCATCCTCAGTTTATTTTAACTGCCATTTGCAGTCCTGGGCTCTCTGGTCCTTAGCCTGAGTTGGGGATTCTCTGCTCTGTCAGTAGCCTGTAAAAGGGAGGAAAAAATCAACATAATCATCACAAAAATACATTTCCTTGGCAGACGGCCTTTGTTTAAATGACCCAGAACAAGCAGATTTCCATCTGCGGGGGTAATAGTCTCAAGTTGGGGGGGGCTCTTCCCCGTGTGAGCTGATCAAGGGAAAAGCTGAAAAAACACAGCATAGTACATGCATTTCAATGCACAGGGGAGACTTTTAGGGCATTAAAACGATGTATCTCGTTAAGGAGACACCTAAGTAGTTTTGTGTCTGTGTGTGTCTCTGTGTGTGTTGTGTGCACATGTGCAGGCATGCATGTATGCATGCCATACATGCAAGCCTGCAAGGGCCTTGCTGACACAGTGAGAGAGAGAAGAGATCAGTTTTTATAAAGATCCATTGAAGTGTGGTCCACTTGATGACTTGAATGCTCTCAGTATTCTGCAGATCTCTGTGCTGGTTGCAGCTGCGATACTTTCTAATGAGAAGGGGCCGTTTTTTTGTCATGTAAATCCCCCCCCCCCCAACAAACTCAAATCTGAACTTTTTTTTTGACACTTGCGCGTTTTGAGAGTCTTAAGTGAATTTGCAGCTGGCAGTTGTCGGGCTAAAACAGGCTTTCGCGTTTATTGCGCACGGCGCTGAGGCCCAGGTCCGAATAATGGCTCCACTCGGGAGAAATTCTTGGCCTTTTGTTCACGTCCGTGTCTTAGAAGGAACAAAGCAGAGGAAGAGGGTGGGGGGTGTTTATAAAAGAGGGATTATACACAGAGCCCATCATACTGTCTGTAAGAGTATAAGGAAATCCAGCGTCTGCTTCCTGAGCCCAGCCATCGCGCCGCCCGGCGACGTCCTTCAGACACTGGCAGGCTCTGCATTACAGACGCGCCGGGCCATCGCGCCGCCCGGCGACGTCCTTCAGACACTGGCAGGCTCTGCATTACAGACGCGCCGGGCCATCGCGCCGCCCGGCGACGTCCTTCAGACACTGGCAGGCTCTGCATTACAGACGCGCCGGGCCATCGCGCCGCCCGGCGACGTCCTTCAGACACTGGCAGGCTCTGCATTACAGACGCGCAGTGTGGCACCGCCACAGGTCGTTGTTTGTGTAGCTTTTTGCATTTGTTTTTAACTAGGTCAAGTTCACAATGACCGTGTCCTCCGCACCACCCCCACGGCTTGCAGTCAGCGTGCCACTTGGGTCTTGATGCTGTGGCGCAGAAGTTTCATTTAGGTGGGAGCCGGGTCCTGTAAATGCAGCGATTGTGACAGGACCAGACCGCGGTGCCCCCCCAGGTCGAAGTAGCGAGACCCTGCAACAGCCGATTCTATTTGTGTTTGACCCCCCCACATCTTTGTGTCTAAGTCTGTGTGTGTGTGTGTGTGTGTGTGTGTGTGTGTGTGTGTGTGNTGTGTGTGTGTGTGTGTGTGTGTGTGTGTGTGTGTGTGTGCGCGCGCGCTCCAGTGTCATGGTGATTGTTTTCAGGCCTCTGCCAAAGTGTCATAAAAATGCTGGTAAGATGACATTATACATTACAGATGTTATAGTAACTTTGATTATTAGTATTTTTTCGAATCATTTATTTGCAGGAAATATTTGCAGTGTTTGGGATTCTTGCTTTAAACCCTGTGTGAATTAAATACACCACGGTACAAATACAATTTTTTTGCAAAATAGTCAGTGGTGGAATTGTAATTATCTTAAGTTAATACATAGCAGTACAGATGTAATGATGGTGAGGTGCATCAGGGTACAGTGTAATCACATTAAGTAAATGCAGGGCAGCTCACATTTAACTGCTCGAAAAGTCTACGGTGTTGTAAATATCATCAAGCAAACTGACTACACAGTGCAGGGGAGTAATTGCAGTGTTAAGGATGTCAGGGGCTGTTTTAGGGAGTGATGCACTGCAGCTGGCTGCTTTGGGGGGGGCAGCCCCTTTCTCACTCTCCTCTCTTTTCCTGGCCTCTCCACCCCTCTCCTTTCCTCTGCTCTCCTCTCCTTTCTTGGCCTCTCCTCTTTTTTCCTGGCCTCTCCTCTTTTTTCCTGGCCTCTCCTCCCCTCTCCTCTCCTCTCTTTTCCTGGCCTCTCCTCCCCTCTCCTCTCCTCTCTTTTCCTGGCCTCTCCTCCCCTCTCCTCTCCTCTCTTTTCCTGGCCTCTCCACCCCTCTCGTTTCCTCTCCTCTTCTCTCCTCTCTTCACGGGCAGGTGTGCTGAGAGTCATGCACGCACCTCCACAGGAAGCTACCGGCTGCCGTAGGAATGTTTCAGAATAAAGTCATATGGGTGTGTTCACAGACTTTCTGGATGGTCATTAGTTTTTATAGGGAGGGGGGCAATTTGGAGCCCATTTTCTGCCAAATAACTTAAGAATGATTAAAGTAAGTTGTTGGTATGTGGCTGGCTTGTAAATTTACTGCATGCTGTTTTTAGTGTTATTCCCTGTGTGGGTGTGTGCGTGCACCTATGTATGTATGTCAGAGGCAGAGTGTCTGGGTGTATAGAAAAAGTAGCTGTGTCTGGTGAACCATGGGGTCAATACTATGTCTTTTATGGCACTTCAGCAGAAGTTTCTCTGAAATTTACCTCCATGTTATTGTGCTACAGCCAGGCTGGCAGCAGCTGGAGGAATATTCCAGCAGAGTCTGTGTGCTGTGACACAGCCGGACCGTCCCCTCTCTCAGCCTGTGTGCTGTGACACAGCCGGACCGTCCCCTCTCTCAGTCTGTGTGCTGTGACACAGCCGGACCGTACCCTCTATCAGCCTGTGTGCTGTGACACAGCCGGGCCGTCCCCTCTCTCAGTCTGTGAGCTGTGACACAGCCGGACCGTCCCCTCTCTCAGCCTGTGTGCTGTGACACAGCCGGGCCGTCCCCTCTCTGTCTGTGAGCTGTGACACAGGCGGACCATCCCCTCTCTCAGTCTGTGTACTGTGACACAGCCGGACCGTCCCCTCTCTCAGCCTGTGTGCTGTGACACAGCCGGACCGTCCCCTCTCTCCGCCTGTGTACTGTGTGACACAGCCGGGCCGTCCCCTCTCTCAGCCTGTGTGCTGTGACACAGCCGGATCGTCCCCTCTCTCAGCCTGTGTGCTGTGTGACACAGCCGGACCGTCCCCTCTCCCAGCCTGTGTGCTGTGTGACACAGCCGGACCGTCCCCTCTC